CCCCTGCCAGTCCAGCCCCATGGCTCCTTCCAGCTCCCCAGGCCTGGGATGACTGGACCAAGCCCGAGCCCTGACCCCCCAGGGCTATGGGGGCCTGTCTGCATGGGATGTGTGTGTGCGGGGGGATGTACTCATGTTTTAGGCGTGTTCTAAGCGTGTTGGCATGTCTAGGGCATGTTCTGAACCCACCTTTTTCTTCTCTCCCTCTCTCAGCTGAGGCAGGGATGGTGCACCTTTGTCCCTGCCATGTGGTGCCCTCCTGCGGCGGCGAGCGGTACTGCAGCCCCTCAACCCTCTCCTCCCTCGCTCACCCCATGCACCGTGGAGGCTGCAGAAGGGGGTTTGCGAACTCCCTGCCCCGGCACAGAACCCAGGCATCCGGGCAGCCTTTTCCCTGCGGAGCTGTAACTGCCTGAGCAGGCGGGCGACTGGACCCAGAGCCAGCGATTTGCCCTGACATTGGATTAACCTGCGGAACTCCTTGCTACTGGATGGGGGAGGGGCGAGGCAAAGCGCTGGGGATTTGAAGGGAGGATCAGGCATTTAAGTTTAATTAATGGAAGAGCAGAGCTGTCCTGTGGATAGGATGTGGGTTTGGAAGCCAGGCTGCCTGGGTTTTTCCCCTGCCGTGAGAATGGCTGGGACTCCTGGGTCCCCCCTGGAGCTCTGCCCCAAACATGCTGTGTGGCTCTCTGGCCCTCCCAGAGTCCCTTTAGAGGGAATTTTAGTGATATTTTATATCCATTTTAATGCAGATATTAACCCCGGGGGAGGGGGGTACCATCTGCACCCAGAAATGAACATAATGTATCAGCCGTGGATGCTGATAATCCCCTCCCCAAACTTCTGGGCCCTAGTAGCTGTGTCCAGTGCTATTTCTGGCACCCTCACATGCGACTAGGGGCAACACCCCCACACTGGGCTAGGGCTGGTACTGGTGTCCTGTGATGCACTGGAGTGCCATGATGGGGGGAGACCAGCTGGAGGGGCGTGGATGCCCCCTGCTGGACACCCTCAGCATTGCCTGCCGTGTGTCATTGGCCCCGCACTGCCAGGAACAGGTGGGGATTCTCCATGAGGTACTTTGGGGCATTTGGAAGGGTTGTAAGTTCTAGGCCCACTGGAGGGTTGGGGGGAAAGTGGGTATAAACAGCCCCGATTCCCCCCACCCCTGGGAGTGAATGCATCTCTGTGCCAGGTAAGGGATCCCTGTATACACAGCTCCTGTGCCCATCCCAGAGAGACCATGCCGTAGGGCTGGGCAAACCCCAGCCTGGGGCAGGGGAGCCCTAGGTTAACTAACTAATTAATTAATTAATAATGAATAATTATTATGACTAATGATAGGGTCACACCGGGACCTTGGATCCGGATGTGACCCTGATATCTTGGTATTTTGGGGATGGCAGCGAGGCGGGGCTGGATTATGGTGTGGGTCCTGGCCCGGGTCTGCGCTGCCCTTCCAGAACCTGCCACAGGTTTCCCTCCTCTCACTTGGGACAGTCGCGGCCTCCTGCCGTGCCTCAGTTTCCCCATCTGGACCACGGGGAGAATCGTCCGTGAGCGCCACAGTCGAGGACCGACTCTCACTGAGGAGGCGGGGGCGGGTCTGTGTGTGATGGGGGGAGACCGATCTTGGTCAGGGATGGGGGGGTCTGTGCACACCTGGCATAATGAGGGGGGGCTAATCTCATGGGGGGGGCGGGAAATCTGTCATGCGCAACATAATGGGAGTCCCAGTTCTGATTGCAGTGCGTGCAGCACGCAGCAGAACAGCACCCCTTCCCCGTTACAATACTAGTCACTGACTAAAGCATATTCCCATCCCATTATTGATAGCTGCCTCGTAGCGCTGTTGGTAGGATGCGGGAAGTGTTCAGGGTCCATATGATTAGCTCAGTGACTATAGCGCCCGGCACCGTAGTGGGGGGAGGATCTCCCAGGCATTATGGCAACCAGGAGGATAAATGATACTCGTAATAAATGTCTGCTCCTCGCCCGAGTCCTGCTTCGCGCTTGAGCTTCTGCAGTATCATGTGTCATGGAGTTCCACAGGTCAGCCACGTGCTATGGCAACTGCTCTGCTCGAAATGTGCCGCCTTTGGAGGTCCTGACCCTCGCCCACTGTTGCGTTAATAGGGGAGGGGCGTATGATAATGATTCATCCGGGCACCTGTAACACCCCGACCCCCGCTGCTCAGAGAAGTAGTTAACCCTGTCCAGGCCAGCATTGCCCTCACTGGCGTGTGACTGTAATACAGGGGCCGTTGTAACGTTCGTAATAAAACGGCTGCATGTGTGAAAATATTATTTTGGAAGAGGTTTTCTGGGGGCTCTTGAGTGCGCCCTCTGGTGTTATTGTAGGGTCTCGGAACTGCTGGACTCGCTCCCGGAGTGGCTGATTATTGTAGGGTTGCTCAGAAGCACAGGCGTTGCTCACAGATTATTTGTCACGGTCGGGTCTCTCAGGAGCCTGGGTTTGCACCCAGACTGGTTTCCTACTCCGGGAGGGCGGAGGGTGGTGCTTGAGCTTTTGGGTTGCGTAAACAATGACTTGTTATGGTAGGGTCTCCCGCCCGCGGCTTGGTTACTGCAGGTTCTTTGGGAGCAAGGGACTGTACACGCTGGTTTGTTATTGCAGGGTCCCCCTGCAATCTCCTAGCAGCCTGGCCAGACTATGGGCAGATGTATGAGCATGGGAGGGGGGAGGCTGTAGGGGATGGAGCGCTGTAGGGGGAGGGGGCT